CAGCTGGTTGGTTTTTTGTGTTTTTTACTCTTTATTTTTCTCTGACATTCCCACTCTGCTAAGGACTTTCCATAACGATACCAATACCTAGAATGTATTGGCCAGTCGCTATGCAAATCTTTTGATGTGTGTTCAGTCCTTTAGAGCTCACGATGACCTAAAGAAGTAGTTATTATTGTTATAACTCCCATTTTACGGGCGAGAAAACCGAAGCACAGGAGTTGGAATAACTAGCCTGAAGTCACACAACTGGTAAATGGCCGACGAGGTTTTTGAAACCAAGAGCCTGTTTTCTTAGACACCAGGTTGCTCTAGGTTGCCACAGTTTAGCCTCCTAAAAGCCCTGTGAGGGAGGTATTTATGATTCCCACTTTACAGATAAGGAACCTGAGGCTCAGAGAGGCTCAGTGAGTTGACAAAGTCATCAGGGTCAGAATTGAACCCTACGTATGTCCCTCAAAAGCATGTGTTCTCTTGCTGTACAACCAGGACAGGGCCCTGGCTTCGCAGTATCCTGGTTCCTGCTGGTTCCTGCTGGTTGGCGCAAGGCTGTCTGAGTGGTGAACTCACCTGAGTAGATGATGGTGTTCTCAAGACTGGCAAGGGCTGCGCTGTCACCTGGGAGCCAATGAACAGGGCAGACGTGAGAATGGTGCCACAGTAACAATGTTAAGGAGCCCACTGTGTGCAGCTCTTGTGGCCAGACTCATGGAATAGACATTTGCTCATGCTGTGATGGGGCAGGAGCTTGGGACACCTGCCGCCTTCTAGATGGCCACCACGGTGCCAGGTCCAGTGAGCAATATACCCCACCCTACTTCACTCCTCTCTGGCATCCGACCTGCTTCATTACTCCTTCCTTCTTGAAATGTTTTCCTCCCTTGGTTTCAGGACCCCCTAGGCCCTTACTCTGTTTCCTACATCACTGGCCACATCTCTGCTCCTTTATGCAACATCTTCTGCTGCTTCTGGTCTCTGAGTGTTGGGGTCCTTGGACCTTCTCTTATACGTGCAACAGCATGGCTTTTAATACCGACTAATGGCATGATTCTCACCAATGAATCTCAAGTGTGGGTCATCTGTTTCTGCTCTTTCCTGCACTCAAAGCATGTCTCAGTCACCTCAGCAACATTTCTGCATGAATGCTTGATAGTTCTCCCAAACTTGACACGGCCATGCCAGAATTCTTGGCTTTACCATGCAATAGTTACCTCTTGCTATGTAACAAATTATCACAAAACTTAACAATTTAAAATAATAATAAACATTTATTACCTCACACAGTTTCTTTGGGTCAGTTTCCTGTGACTAAACTAGCTGGATGATTCTGGCCTTGAGACTCTCAAGAGGTGGCAGTCAAGATGTCTGCCAGGGCTAGTCCTCTGAAGGCTTGACTTGGGCCAGATGATCACTTCTAGGATGGTTCATATGGCTGTTGGTGGAAAGCCTCAGTTTCTGACTTGGCAGGAGGCTTGGACTTGAACGTCTCTGTAAGATTCTTAAGTGTCCTTATGCCATGACAGCAGGAGAGAGTCAGAGCAAGTGATCCAGGAGAGAGGGCAGTGGAGCCACAATATCTTTTTCGGTCCCAGAAGGCACTTGCTATCACTTCCACTGTATTCTTTGGATCACACAGATGAGCCTGATATGGTGTAGGAGGGGACTACACAAGGATCCTCAGGTGCCATCTTGGATGGAGGCTGATTACCACACTTCACGAGCCTACCCCTGCCCCTCTACTCCTCATATCATTAAATGGCCTGTTGCTCAGGCCAAAATCTTTTGACTCTTTCCTTTCACATTTTAATTCAGTCCATCAGCAAATCATGTCAGCTCTATCTTCAGACCCTACCCTGGGCCCCAGCTTTTCTTATCCCAACTATAGCACCCTTTCTAATCTCAACTCACATTGACCACAATAAGCTAACTTGGCATCCCCGTTTCCACCTTTGCCACAAAGGTCTCTTCCCCTCCAGCATCCAGAGATCAACATCAAGCTCATATCTCTCTTCTCTCCTCAGCAAACTCCAGTGGTTCCCACCTCACTCGGAGTGACTGCCAGTGCCCTTGCCATGACCTACATGATCATCCCTCTGGCTGCTTTTCTGGCCATCATTCCAAACTGACTCCCCTCCATACCAAAAGAGCCTCTGTGCTGTTTGTGAAGCCCATATTTGCCTAGGACCCTGTGGGTACTGTGCCCTCTGCCCAGACTACCCCTCCCCACATAGACATTGCGCCTAATCCCTCCAATGGCACACTCTCAGAGATGCCTTCCTTGACCTTCACATCCAGGATGGCACCTCACTCATTTTAACCCTTCCCTCTATTTCCCTTCCTATCTCTATTACTACTGGACTGCATACTATACATTTATTGGTTTTCTTGTTTATTATCTGTCTGCTTCTCTAGAATGTGTAAACCCCAGGAGGGCAGAAATACCATCCATTTTTATTATTGCTGGACCTTTCCATGGCACCTGAAATGGTGCCTAGCACATAATAGTGGCTCAAGGATTAATTTGTGGACTAAATAAATTAATGAATGTACTGCATGGGAGCAATGGGTTTATTTGGAAAGATACCACCCAATTGAACTTTCTGCAATGGTGGAAATGTTGTTTATGCTGTCCAATGTGGTGGCTACTACATACTTAAAATGTGATTAATGTGACTGAGGAACTGAATTTTTTTATTTTAATTTTATTTTTTTATTGATTTCAATTAAGTAGCTACATGTGGCCAGTACCCACCATATTAGAGTAGATCTAGATCCTTGGGGTGGATGGGGCATGGGGACATGTCCACGTCATTTCATGTACACTGCAGTAGAGAGGTAGAGCCTTCCTAGGGTACTGTGTTAAGAAGGAGCCTGAAGTCCAATCAAAAAATCTTTTTTGAACATCTTTGGTGTACACAGCATTGTGTTGTCATCAGAATATCACACAAGAGGGCAGTGATTGATTAGTGCCTTCTGTCCTGGGCAAGGGGGTGAATGTGTTATGCTGTGGTATATTTACCAGACATGACCTCAGTTTTTCCAGGGCTAGTCAGAGGTCCTTCCTGATCCCTCCCAGGGAGTGATTACTGGAATGTACACCTAGTGTCCTATAAACCTCTCACTGACTCCCCCCCATCCCTGCTCTGTCTGCCCTCCCTATTCTCCACTGAGTTCCCTCAATCCAGTCTTCATAACTAGAGTAGAATGTTTTCTGCAAGAATCTTTTTGAGGGATGACCAAATTTCCTTTCACACACACACTCCTGCAAATGTTGGCTACTTTCAATTATATTTCTACTTATTTGATGAGAACATTGCATGTGTTTACCTTATGGTCCACACTGAAAAGCTGCTTAGGACAGGGAGCCTATTTTCCCTTTTACATATATCTGCTAGGTTATGTGTGTGGATAGTACATAGCCCCCTCTAGCATATGAGTTCAAAAGCATGGGGAAAGCATTCTACCCATGAAATTTCTCACTGAAGACTAACATCCTTTAATGACAGGTGGGATCTTTTATTCCTAAAAAAGAAAATAAGGTCTAAATAGCAAATAACACCTTGGATAAGGCACATTTTAACTAAAACTCTCCCTGTGGTTCACATGAGTGGGAGAAGGCCCTTTCCTAGGAGCAAAGAGTACAGTTGGTGCCCCAACTGTATCCCTTAATCACCTATTGTTTCTATCTGCCAACACTGCTTTCCTTTGTCTAAAGTGGTAGTTCTCAGCCAAGAGCAATTTTGCCCATATTCTGGGGACATTTGGCAACATCTCAAGAAATCTTTTTGGTCATAACTGGCAGAAGTTAGTAGATGCTACTGGCATCTAGTGGGTAGAGTCCAGGGATGCTGCTGAACATCCTGCAACACACAGGACATTCACCCACATCAGAGAGTTATCTGGACCCCAAAATCAATGGTACCAAGATTGAGAAATTCTGGTCTAAGCGCTGTCTCTTCCCACTAGAGCCTACCAGCCCAGGACATGGCAAGTCAGAAGTGCCAGGAAATTAATATTCATGGAAGCAGATGTTAAACAGTGTTTTGAAGGGAGCTAGTGCATAAATACCCCAGCTCTTGGCCCCTCAGATGGGACAGCTCCAAGGTACATGTTTAATATACTCTCCCAGGGCGCAGAGTTACCTGGCGGTATTAGGTTCCAGTTGCTTGATTGGTAACTTGCTGTGCATGTTGGGGTTCACCAGAGAGACAACCTGTGGCGGGGGCTGTTTGTGTACACAGAGAGAGCCTCTCCTCTGTGGATGACATCAATCCTTTCACTTAAAGCTTTTAACTGATGGGATGCAGCGTACCCACATTATGGAGGGCAATCTGCTTTGCTCAAAATCTGATTTAAATGTTAAGCATATCTAAAAAAAAATACCTTCACAGTAATATCTAGACTAGTTTTTGACCAAACAACCAGATGCCATAGCCTAGCCAAGTAAACACATAAAATTAACCATCATACTCAATGACTCACCCTTTATTGGTTTTTCCTTTCCTTGTCTCACTTCCCCTGGAATCACCTCCCACCACTGCATTTAAATTCAGGTCTCATAGTCTGCTTCTGGGTTTGTTTGTTTGTTTTTTTTAAGATTTTATTTATTTCTCAGAGAGAGAGAGGGCATAAGCAGGGGGAGTGGCAGGCAGAGGGAGAAGCAAGCTCCCTGCTGAGCAAGGAGCCCAATACAGGACTTGATCCCAGGACTCTGGGATCATGACCTGAGCCGAAGGCCGACGCTTAACCACTTAACCGACTGAGCCACTCAGGCGTCCCTGCTTCTGGGGATTTTAGTAGGGAAAGGGGGAAGAAAACAGCTGGATGGGGAGGTCGTAGGGTAAAGGGTAGAAGCAGGAGCAACCTCGGACCTCACAAGGTAAGCATCACCCACAACCATATCGTGCACGGTGCTCTTCATTCAGGCCAGCTGTGGCTTGGCTCACTGAGGCATTCAGATCTAGCATGTGAATATTCTCCATCTGTGTCTGTCTTCCCAGGTGGATTACGATCGAGCACAGATGGTCCTCAGCCCTCCACTGTCAGGGTCTGACACCTACCCCAGGGGCCCCGCCAAACTACCTCAAAGTCAAAGCAAAGTGGGCTATTCCTCAAGCAGCCACCAGTACCCATCTGGGTACCACAAAGCCACCCTGTACCACCACCCCTCCCTGCAGACCAGTTCCCAGTACATCTCCACGGCTTCTTACCTGAGCTCCCTGAGTATCTCATCCAGCACCTACCCCCCACCCAGCTGGGGTTCCTCTTCAGACCAGCAGCCCTCCAGGGTGTCCCACGAACAGTTTCGGGCTGCTCTGCAGCTGGTAGTCAGCCCAGGAGACCCCAGGGAATACCTGGACAACTTTATCAAAATCGGAGAAGGGTCAACCGGCATTGTGTGCATCGCCACCGAGAAACACACGGGGAAACAAGTCGCTGTGAAGAAGATGGACCTCCGAAAGCAACAGAGGCGAGAACTGCTTTTTAATGAGGTAGATGGTGTGTTCAGATCACTCTTTCTCTCCTGTGTAACGTTTACTTCCCATTTCAAAAATATTACCTGTACAGTTCAGGACATCAGAAAGCACTGAAAATATAAATACAAAAACCATGCTCCCACAATCCTTCCTTCTGGTCTTCATCTATGTGTGTATGGCTGCTACTTCTGTAAGGTGCCTCATGCAGATCAGCCCCCATGCTAAGCACTGATCTGGCTTGAGTCACACAACCAACCTGTGAGACATAAAGATGTTATTGCCATGGCCACGAGGAAATCTGGACTCAGGTGAAGTGACTAGCCCAGGGTCACAGACAGCAGGTTGATGGCAGAGCTGGGATTTGAATTCTAGCAGATTCCAAAGCCTTGTGCTACACTATCTACATGGGTATATATACATGGTCGTGGTACCATGTATACCCTTTGTAGCCATTTTTTTTAAATCTCAAAAGAGGTTAGTTTACCAATGGATTCTCACTCTTTAGGAACTTTAAGATATGTGTTCCTAACTATAGCAATGATGAATTCTTCCTGTGGAAAATATGGAAAATATAGAAAATGTCCCATAATCTCACAACCAAGAAATAGCCTACATTAATATCTCAGGATTTCCTTTATTTTTTTCTCCTTAGAGAAAGTGATATAGAGTATTGACTTCCAGAAAGTTTGTAACAATGAGGACCCTCACTGATGGTCCTGTTTCATCCTCACTAGCACTGGATACTGTCAAATTACCTCTGTTAATCTGATAGACATGAATAAATCTTCCTGCTTTAATTAACACTATTATTACTAGGGAGGGTGAAGTTACTTTTATATGTTTTTAGGCCATTTTTATTTTATTAAACCATATGTCCTTTGCACAC